GATAATCATGTTTTTTTTTGGGTTTATAGATACGATATGGGTTTGTAGATACGAGAAATTACATGGAAATAAACAAATATCACATTTTTAATCATTTAGGTTCATATATAAAAACTCGGAACATCGAATATTACTCTAGAATACTGAATTAATCGATAATAAGTACCTACTTTTTAAAATTGTCATCGTATCAAAACTTAAAATCCATGATTTTGCTATATTGAATAAAATTAATTTAAAGTCTACGCTTGCAAATTGATTAAATGTATTTTCAATGAGCCATATAGTACTCGGAATTTGCAACGGCAGTAAAAATATAATTAACAAAATTCTACCGTTTTAAATATACAAGACATTGTACTCATAAAACAAATCCACTCGAAAACAGAAAGGGAGTGCAGTATCTGTGAGATAAGTAAAAAAAGCGCCCCCCGACTGGAGGGACTGCCGCCGGGGCAACGGCCATCGACCCTAGGGGCGCGCCCGAAATAGACCGCGCGGGGGTCCCGTACCCTGTTTATATTTGGCACGGACATTTTGAGGCCATTGATGTAGAAATGTAGATGCTTCTCAGAATCAGTTCGCCTAGTTATATATGTAGTGGAATAGTTTACAATATTGAACTATGTTTGAGCCTTCTTATTAAAACAAATCATATATAGTTTCACAGCAAAGGATTTTGGGATTAACAAAATATTCCTTCACGAATTAATAGTTATTAACTAGAATATGTATATGATATTATTTTAGGAAGGAATGAAGTCTTTAGAACTGTCTGTTCTCCCAAGTTTGAATTTAAAAATTAATCTGTATTATTGTAATTTAGCTGTTTCTTGTCAGTTCTTCTCATCTCGAAATCATTCCGAACTGACGGTATATTTGACATATCATAAAAGTCTGTAATAGACCTACATGAATAAAGATATTTTGTTTCTTTTTTAATATCGTATTATCGAGTTTAGGATTAAATAATTTAATAAACCAGGCATAGTGTGGTATTGGATTATTTCCTCATACCATGTACGGGATCTGCTACAGATATAGATAAAAATAAAAAATATCAATTCTATATATATATAAAACGTTCTAGTTAATATTTTTATCTATGTAGGTACATTTGAAGTCGTTTGGAAATCCTACTAAAAAGTTAGAAGTGATTATACGTGTCACACTGTTGGGTTTCCTTAAGAGGAAGTTTCCATTGTAGGTTTTCATGACGCAATCGATTTCAAACTCCAGAGGTCTTACAGGATTAATAAATATATATTTTCTTTTATTTTGTCAGGTCAAAACAAAAAGTCTAATATAAGGTTTAGCTGAGCTATTTAGTTTTAACGTCTGGAAAAAACGGTTACATTGTGAATGTCAAATAACTAACTGTCTACTCATCAGTGAAATAATGCATAGACTGCTATAACTTAGTATGACAATAAAACAGCCAGAATAGACAATATGTTTTTTTCTTAAAACTGACGTTTGATAGACATTGTTACACAGAATATTGGTAGTCGGTGGGTACTGTGTTGCCAACGACGCTTGTGAATTGCTACTTTATTTTTAAGACCAAAATGCCATAAAACTTGAATTGGTGATTAGCTGTTATGCGACGATATTGGTACTTATAAAAGAACTGTACAAGCAGACAAATGCATTTTAACCTAATGAAGTAGAAGTGTAATTAGTATAAGTGGATATATAAGATTGGAGATCCATCGAGACCACGTATCTGCAGTAAAGTATACCTACTGAGGTCCAACCATCATTTATCACATACATTTATGACTCAACACATAAAGATACAGCGCTGATAAATGATAACAAATCCTTTACTCTGATAGACGGTACAGGAAAACATTGCTATTTTAATACTATTGTTGAAATATTACGATGAATCTGATCACTCAAAATATTAAGCCAGTATTTGTTCATGTAGGATATTTAATATACGTGTTTAAGCCAGTTTTTATATTTTCATCCCGACTTAACACAGTTGCATTACAAATTTTAGTTTCTCGGCTTGTTCTATATCACACATTATATACATAAACTTTCCTCATAACTTAATATATTAATTGCTGAAAATTCCATTAAAATCTGTTGCATAGTTTCAAAGATATAAGCGAACAGACAGTGACGACCTTATTTTATACCGTGTAAAGAAGTTTCCTACAGTCCAGTAGATAGTTCCACTTGTGATGATCTGGCAAGAAACTCTATGTTGTTCTTTTGAAGTATATTCGTTAACATCATTCACTTATTTGGGTGTTATATCTAACACATATTCTTGAACTAATACCATATGCAGTACATATTTAATTTACATAATCTCTCTCAGAAATATTTGAACATACTATTTGAAAAAAACTTTAGCTTTGAGCATGTAGCAAATGCGCAGACAGGGATCCGTAGCTAGTAAAGTTTTCAATTCATCTGCCTGCAATAATGTCTATTTCATAATAACACTGAACCAACACAAATTTCATTTAAAAATACATTGGTACACGTTTGCCGTTTATATACGGTCACAGGGAAATACGTATACAATTTTAACCCAGTTTAAAGAGGCGTCTCGATATAAGACAGCACAAGAGTCCACTCGAAGAAATATAGCTTAGATTTTGGGTCACAAACTTGTAGATTTTAGCAATTAACCATAGAGGGCAACATGTAGGTTCTGCATCCTGCATGGTATAAAAAGTTCTCTATGATATACGAAGAGGTTGTTAGACAAACAAAGCAAATTCATATAAACTTCTCATAGGGCCTTGTAAACTGATTTCACAATAAATTAAATTAAACAATTGCTGATGCATTGTGAGTGTGTGTTTAATTTAATTTAATTAATTATTTAACTTTCTTATTTAGAATATAAGGATGTGTTTGTTCGTTTGTTGGATCCAATAGGAGTGGCTCATATCCTTTACCCTTTACATATTCATTATACCTTTTACTTTTTAAAGAAAATCAATCAAGAGTCTAAGATAACTTGCGTTACAGAGTCCCATCAAAGTATATCTAGTATATATTAGTGAACGAGTATATATTCGTGCTTTATATACATGTAAATGAATGCAACTAACGTTCTTTAGGCTGTGTGAAATTTATTTTTAAACTATTAAGCTGGCTGATGAATTATTTTATTAAAATTCAGCTTTAGTAGCAGCATAAAGGTTGATATAAGTATATATACTACCTAAATACTTATCATTAAGTGTTCACATAAATTGAAGTACTGCATCGTATATTTTATCTATATCTATGGTGGATATATTTGGTTGTATCCATAAATCCATAAAGGAATATTTTTAAGGTCATAGCTGGAAATTTACCAGCAAGTTAGCGATATGTGACCACTGAAAAACCTTAACATACCATACCCATCTAATAATAGACTTCGTGATAAGACTATTAGAGTATCTAGTTAGGAAATGTTAGTTGACCTCTATAATAAAAAGCTTTATTACTGAAAATTGTTTTATTTATTGAATTACTAGGCTTTGATTAAAACAAAATAATTCTTTTGTTCAAATCAAAGTATCTATAAAATGTATATTTTCTTGCCTCTTACCAGTTAACCAGTCTAAATTCTGGCATGAGAACAATAAGTTAAGAACCTTTATATCCTTAAGAGTTAGAACTGATGAGTTTTATGCTTAAAATTCTAGATATTCTAGAGCAAATATGCAAAAGTGGTAGTGATAGAAGATCAAAGCATGCGTTAGTTTTTGATGACGTCTCAAACTCAAGGTCTATATTTAAAGCATATGACATCATGAAATTTCATACAGATAGACTATATGAGAAGTTGTGCATTTGTTTCTAGGCGTGTTTTCTGCAGATATTATATCTAATTATTTGAGAACAATGAGTAATGTACCAGAGGTGCATTATGATTATTTACTGATGCATTCTGAAGGTCAACTGATGTGTAAGATACATAGTATCAAACTAAAATATTCAAAACAAATTAAAGAGAAAAAGTAAGTAAGCAATCAATGAAAAATGTTACTGTCTATTAAAATTAGACAAATTAGAAGTACTTCAACACCATATCTTAACGTAAAAATATCAACAAAAAAATGGGCTAATGTAGAACAATGTAAACATAATGAAATTATAAATATTGAAGAAATCAATAATCAATTTAAGACAAATCTGTTACAAATTAACAAGGTTAAATTGTTAGAAGAGCTAATTGAAAAACATTAATGAATAGGGACTGTGAAAACCAAGAACTTAAAGCTAAATATTGGACAAGTACCTACAATAAAAATTTTAAGATTGCATAATGCACATACCATAAAGTAAAAATATAGGTTAAAGGTGATACTGAAAATATGAGTCCTATATTATATGATAAATATTAATAAAATTGTTGAACAAAAGACCAGTAATAACACAGGCGTAAATAAATAGAAGTACAAGATGAAAAAGAGCTTATATATATATGTAACCACAACAGTATCTAAAATAAATAAAGATACTATAAAATATAAATAATTTTATATAATTGTTTTTAATTGACGTAGATGCATTTTATAACTTAATATAAATTAAATGTAATACAAAAAATAATAAAATAGATTTTTTTAGATGAATGGTTCATCTATTGGAACATTAAGAGTAGATTAATATTAAAAGGTTCAGTGACCCAGTAAATATGTATTTTGTTTTTTAAAAGACATTGTGACAAAATTCAAAATAACCATGTTCATAACTTGGTATCTTAAAGTAGAAAGTAAATAATAAAATATGTATTTAAAATATAATTATATTATATGATTGTACACACAATGTATAAGATTAAAAATGATTAACTTTGAAACAAAAATAATACAGAACTTCATATAAATATTAAATAAAATACATAAACTCAATATACTTCTATCTTATCAGAATTTCACATTTTACGGTAAACATTAGGTTCGGCTGTTTGACCGATAACCGTAGCTATTAACTCTATAAAAAAGTAGACATCGAACTATAAACTAGGCACTTACCAAAGAAGTATTAGCCAAGAACTAAAGAATAATCACTGATTTAGGAGTAAAATATAGTGCAGTGTTTCCTTCGACTCTGCCACGAACATAAGCACAAAGCTAACATTTGGCCGATCCTAAAATAGGATATCGCAGGCCCCAACTAATGTTATAAACATTCATGCATGGCTCAGATTGACTCACACATGCAAGAGCTAATAAAAAAAATCAATATTTAAACAATTATACCGGCCCTAAATATAGCTGATAAACATTAAATATTAAACGCGAATCAAAACGCAATAGACACAACGCAATGGTCGACTCTCGAATACTGAAAAATGTGATTTTTCATGACCACAACCTCCAATAGGGGAAACCAACTAAAATAGAATTAATACTCACAACACCGATAGGACCTCGCTACACATCGCGTATGCAATTACTCTTCGTCGATGTTTTTTTAAACGATGAAAAATCAATAATTTTTAAGAGCACAAAATTGTTCATATTTTTCCATTGGGGCCCCGTTTTTCTCCATCTCAGTTGCGCGAGTACTTAAAAATGAAAAACTTATCAAGAAAACTGTGCAAACGAAAGAGATGCATATAGGTCGACAATTGTAAATAATGACAGGAGCGAATCATAACAAATGAGGGAGACAGCCAATGGATTCGGTGTTAACAAAAACAAAAGACATTACGTAATATCATAACACCGGTTTTACACTAAATACTCACCAGTAATAGCTCCATATAATATGCCCCAAACAACAAATTAAAAGATGCAAACGTTTTTAACACATTTTGTATGCATTTTGACGGGGAGCGAACGTACATCCGTCACGCGGACGCCATTTGCAATAGCTCGCTGTCGGACGAGTTGGTACTCATTGTAGAGAGATTGATACTTATTATTGCCAGGGAAATAATAAATAACAAAATCAAGTTTTAAACAGATTATGTAAATTTGTGATTTTACATTCGAACTGTAATAAATGTATTAAATTAATCAAATATTAATCGATTAAATTTCAATCATCGATTTAAGTATGGCAATAAATAATATAGTGTCAACTATCAAATTGGCGGTAAATTCAAAATCAGAAGCAAGCAGAATAATTAAAATCCAGAGACTAACAACACAAGTAGTTTCTCTATTGAATAATTATTTTACGTTTCACACAATAAATCATTATTCGTTTAGAAGTGCTTGCATATGGTAGTGTTATAGAATTAATGCAAATTATTAAATTCACCTACATTCAAAATTGTAACATAAAATAGTTTTATGAGAATTAGTAATGATAGTCAATTAATAAGTACACACACAATCTCAATAACATGTCTTAGACAGCATTATATAATTATAGTAGTCAGTAGTTAATGTAGTGGGTGACACATTTGTTAAAAAATATTAGTAAATAGCAATAAAATGTAATTGTTTAGTAAATAAAGGAAAAAAAAAGCAAACCATATGTATAATGTGTAATTGTCAGACTTTTTTTTGTTACGGTTTACGCTAAATGATAAGATGAACATGAGGTCAAAAAAAATCTGAAAACATGGTTTTGGGTGTTGGTAATTCAGACTCCATATTACTAACAATCCCGTCCCCCCTTGGTTTCAGACTTGTACTGTATATAATTTATTTATTTATGGAGTCGTTGAGATTTTTGGCGGAGGCCGTTGTTCAGCAGTGGACGTCTTCCGGGCTGAGATGATGATGATGATGATGTCCATAAGAAATACCGTTCACTTAGTTTCCTTACTCCATGAATAATATGTTGACATAGGGGGAAAGAGAATTGTTAGTAATGTGGTTTCCCCTGGAAACCTTCGTGATAAATTTTTGTTGAATTTGTCACGATGGGCTAACTGACCTGACCTCATGCTCAACTTATCATCCTCCACTGGGTCCCGCCAGCGTAAACCGTTAGCGCGGCGGGTGCATCATTCCATTATCATCCATAAAAAAAATCTTGACATAGGTGAATAAAGTTTCATAATAAATAATTAGATATAAATATATATACATATAAATGGGAGGATTTTTTATGGATTACATACATACATTTTGTCAAGTCTTCGCTCGTTTTGTGCAAATAATATCATTGCTACAGATAAATATCACATAACATCCTCACATTTGCCAGGTATATTAGCCTAGTGTGGCGATTTACCAAAATTAACCACAAGTGTCCAGGCGGTGTCTCGAGGTCTAAGACCTGGTAAATTCGCTAGCGATGGAGTCAATTCAAGAGTGTTCTTAAGGCCCCTTAAGAACACTCTGTCTACCAGAAAGGTAGCGTGCTGTGGCGGGGGGGCTCCGTATAAAATTTTTATTGACTATTGATTGAATTTTTTCAAGGTCCATTGCGAGGTCCCTTGTCCTAAGTGAGTGTGTTGCGAACGACTTTCTTACTTATTTTGCGTCACTGCACCGTAATTATCTATCTGATACTTTTTCTAAAATTTTTACAAACAGTTCAAATTAAATATATGCTTTCGTTTTGGCATTTGTGAAATAATGTCAAACAATTGAATTATTTAGAATTAAAATAAAATGCTGACAATTAATGAAATATTGACATTCTATTATATTCCATGTTTTATAGTAAGAAGTTATGGTGAATGACTAAAGTTTAGAATTTATAATGACTTGATTGATTTATAATGAGGATTACAGAATTAATACTTGTATGCTGGAAACAGCAGATTATGATATAATAATAATAATAACCTCAGGACAATTCACACAGCGCCATTCTGACAATTAAATATATTATTATTATTATAAAATAACATTTTACATAGATATTTTTTTTTTGTAAATACATACATATTATACGTAGAAAACACCCAGACCGATACAAACAATCATAGTCATGAATACAAATGTTTGTGGCGTAAATTAAGTTTAATTATATATATTTTATTTAATCTTTTTTTCTAAACCGCTAGATTTTTATATTGTAACATTGTTGAAAAACATATATGTATATTATATATAATTATCACCATTGTAAATACCATATTCTGACAAATAAATATATTATTATTATTATAAAAAAAAAATTATAATAATAATAATAGATAGCTACTCGCCCAACACACACAACCTGGTGTTCATGTGTTATGTATATAAAAATAACAAAATATAAAAAAACAATCAGAAATAACCGTTGCGACTTTAAAGCTTTACAAAAAGTAACAATAGTCCCAATCGTTCTCTTTTCTACTATGTAATAATAGAAAGAATGAAAATCATTTATTCAAATAAATACATTGAACTTGCACTTTTGAATATATACTTTTTTAATACAGAAGGCTGTAGTTCTAAACACATGTCTCATTGTTAGAAAGTTTCTACAGACAGATTAGGCCTACATTTGTATTATTTTATATTACTAAGATAGAACATTTTTAAGTTTAAGTGTGTGACATACAAACCGGCGAGAGAAAATAATATAAATAAAAATAAAGTAGGTTAATATTTGTTTATGTTTGTTGTAATTAATAGGACATACAGTCATAGTGATTAGAGCAGACCATTTCAGCACCCGTTATATGTATGTAAAAAGTGATTACTTTATGTTTATTTTTAAATATCTACATGGTAAATTAAGTTTAATTATATATATTTTATTTAATCTTTTTTATCGTTTGCTTGTTTTTTATATTGTAACATTGTTGAAAAGCACTGAATAAATGTTTTTTCTTCTTTCTTCTTACCCCGTCTAATTGATACGCCAGTTACGACGGTAGCTACGCTCCTGTATGCTACCTTCTTACTATGTAAATTATGTTATGTAATACGAAATAGCTAGCTACTCGCCCCGGCATCGCCCGGGTGTTCATGTGTTATGTATATAAAGCTTCCTCTTGAATCACTTTATTTATAAAAAAACCGCTTCAAAATCCTTTGCGTAGTTTTAAAGATTTAAGCATACATAGGAACAGACAGCGACAGCGACTTTATTTTCTACTATGTAATAATGATGTATCAATAACACTACTAGCCCTCAAAAAATCTATATTTTTATAGAAATTTATTTAGAGGTTTGAGTTAAAAAACAGTCAAACAAAGAATGCTTCAAGTAATATATATTACAATAGCCAATTTTCTAGTTTCCATAAAGACAGTTATTATAATGTTATATAAAATTAACTTATTTTAAATGTTTTATAATGCTGATGTTATTTGCTTCCTGGCCGTGAGTGGGGTCGGCAGCATCATTACTATCTGTAAACAAGGAATGGTGTTTAATTTAACAATTCAGGACAACTATTGGAAAATAAATTTATTATACAGTACATGTGCCTGCAACTTCGTCCGCGTAAATTGTAGATACTTCCATGTAACCTTTCATCTCACATTTCAACCCCTTACAACCCTTTTTTCGGATTAAAAAGTACCCTATGTCCTTTCTCAGGTTCTAGACTATATGTGTTCCAAATTTCATTTAAATCGGTTCAATAGTTTTGGCGTGAAAGCGAGACAGACAGACAGACAGACAGACAGAGTTACTTCCGCATTTATAATATTAGTAAGGATTTGACGACCTCGGTAGTATAGCGGTCTAGTACACCGCTTTACGTCCGATGGTCGCGGGTTCGATTTCTCGCAATACACAAACATTTGTATTCATGAGTATGATTGATTGTATCGGTCTGGGTGTTTTCTATGTATATTATGTATGTATTTACAAAAAAAAATCTATGTATTTGTATCAGTTATCTACTACCCATAACACACGCTTTAGCTAGCTTAACTTGGGTCTAGATGGCGCTGTGTGAATTGTCCTGAGATTATTATTATTATTATACATAAACAAAATTGTATAACAATTTTAAAGAAATATCCATTTAAATAATATATATTTAGTGGTTTTAGAAAACTAACTCAGACAAGAAAGTATTGTGCATATATTATACATATTAAAAAAAAATGAACACCAGCAGTCCTCACCTCAGGTAAGCAGGTCTGGGGCGGCGCCTGCGAGCAGGTCTGCGGCTGCGCCGACGGCCTGCCCCCAGGCGGCGAGGCGCTCCGCCAGCGCCGCAGCACCCGCGCGGGGCAGAGCCCGAGGTCGCACCCACCGCACCTGCACGCTCTCGCTGACCTGCGACAAGTACGAATAGAATTATTCGACATGATGTCCATGGCTACCTTTTACCATCGCATCGCTCACCGTCAGGAAATTCATCTCCACACGCTGGAACCTGAGTCTTGGACAGTGCGGTTCCAGATGAGCTTACTCCAGCGTACACTTTTGTTGAATGAACTGCCTGCCGAGGTTTTCTCGTGGCTATATATTATAGCGTGGCACTTTGAAACCGTGCATATTAAGGTTTCTTAAGGGTTTCAACTAGAGATGAAACGGATAGCAGTCTGACCGGATCCCGGATATTCGGCCAACAATTTAGCCGAATGGCCGAATAGCCGGATAGCCGGCGGAACTTAGATAACTAATAAACTGATTTTCTTCCTATAACAGTCATTTACTAAAGAATAGAATAGAATAGAAAATCATTTATTCAAATATACTTAATTGAAGCACTATTGAATAGTCAACATTTTTTTAAATCTACCGCTTATTCGAAATGCTGTCTCATAACAAGAAGAATAAGCAAGAAACTTGTGTGTTGCTCTTTTAAACAATCCTTGTAAGTTCACATTTTACGAGTCGAAACGTGTGAATACAAACTACCAACAAGCACTAATTTATTTAGGCTCAAATATAAAAACACAATAAGATTAAATCAGTCGTAGTGATAAGAGCAGACCAGTCCCTACAAGCAGCACTCGTTCACGAGTATGACGGATGAGCCAGTCATCACTGCGCTCGACCATATTTTAGAAAAAAAATTTAAAACTAAAATTAATTTTATTCCTTAAGTAATACTAAGACTAACTACATAAAGCAAATATTAAAAAAAAAAATTTTTTGCCCAGATATTTTTTTTAATTCAGCCGGATACCTATCCAATTGTACAGGGATGAACGGAAGCTAAAAACATATTACGCCGACCCCAAATAATTGGGACAAGGAAGAAGCAGATGATGATGACCTATCCAATTGTAGTTATCCGGTATTCGGCCGGATAAGCCGGATACTGGATATCCGTTTCAACGCGTGACAACCCTGGTTTTCAGGCAGCGTAACCGTTTACCATCAGATGTACGGAGAGCTTCATTGTGACCATGATTATCACAGTATTAAAAACATATCATTACAACTGCACTGCTACTCTTTACGCTATCCTGAACCCCTTGATTATCATAGATACTTCCTGATGAGTGTGTTAGTAGACTAAGTAACACGACTTCATTCTTATTCTCTGTTGTACAGAAAGTCGGAATGGATGAGGAATTTGACTTACTGTGTGAATTGTCTCCTCATCCTTCTTGTGACATTTTTTTGACAGATATTTTTCCTTATTAGCACAAAAAATAAATCACAACGAAAACATCTTTTTCATATTCGGGTTGAGCTTGTTGAAATCGTGCTGATAACGTGTTGTAGTAATAAGAAAAAATAGAACTAACATATTGACAACAGAAAGAATGAATTGAAGTATCAAAACAAGAATCTAAAAATTAACTATAAATTTCAAAATACAAATTTAGATATAAAAACACATTTCTTATTAGCCAGTTAAAATATTCTCCCCGCCCCACAAGTGTAAAAATAAGTAATAGAAATAATCTTTATTCAAATAAACTTAATATAAGCACTTTTGAATAGTCAAGTTTTTTTATTCTACCGCTTATTCGGAATGTAGATTCATCACAAGAAGAATAAGCAAGAAACTTGTGTGTTGCTCTTTTAAATAAATATTGATTTACTTATATTTCATTAACAACAAGGATTATGCATGCGACAAACATAAAAACCGCTACGCATTTAACGCAATAAAGCATTCATACTGCATATTTGTAAGTTCTGTAGGTTCTTTCTGTCATCATTGCATTTGATGACTTCAGTAACCTTTCCTTAGTTGGAACAAAAACATTGATAATACGGAGCTTAAGTAGGAAAATCTGTTTCTGAGATTATCATACACAAACAGTTATCTGTTTGTGTATTTTAAAAACAATATATGTATGACTAGCTGTACTAGCCACTTATTCCGCGTGGAATTAAACTTTATTTTTCTAAAATAAAAGTAACCTAAATTAAGTAATGAACATCAGCTACCTGCCAAAAATGTCCCGTCAAAATCGGTCCAGCCATTTTAGAGATTAGCCGGAACAAACAGACAGACAAAAATTGTTATTTTGGTATACATACCGTAATTATATTCATATGCATGTAGTACAGTACAAAGCGGTTATAGTTAATTTTAAACTTTCGTGTTTAATATACATTATTTAAATTATTAACCGGGTCTTAACACGAATAATTTTATGGCAAATAAAGGTATTTACATCTCTCGACGTTTCGACTAGGTTGCACTAGCCGTGGTCACGAGCTGACTGGAGCAACAGCGATGTCAATGTAGATAGGTGACAGCAGTTTTTTCTTCATCTACCGTCACTAGATTGTTTAACGAAAGTTCGCGACACACTCACGGTATCCGTATACTGATCGACTGTTGATGCTACTGAACTTTGCTTGAATTTATTTATGACTGGATTCCACGCAGATGATAATTTTAAGCCATCCTCTCTGTTGAAATTGGGATGTTTTTTAATTTCAATCGCCTCCCGGACCATTCGTGGTTAATAGTGGCGATCAGTAGAGAGGACCTTAGGCGCATGTAGTTATTAAAAGCGGTTATTTCTATATTACAAACAGTCTCCAATTTTATTTATATGTATGTATATATAAATATAATTATGTCGTAATTGTGACTACGGAACATATTATGTTATTAGTTATTATTAATGTAATTTTATTTATTAATGTAATTGTAATTGGATTGAATTTGTATAAATATGAATTACTGTATCTTATGACTTGCCATATATGTAAAGAAGTTTTTTACATTGGTTAATAAAGGAAATATGAAAATATGAAAATACATGTTTAATCTAAACATGTACTAACCTGATCAATATGACCTCGTATGAGCTTCTCCGCCAAAGCCTTCATGACGAGTAACTCCACCTCATCGTGAGGCACGCGAGCCTCGCGCGCTATCTCGCTGAACGTGAGCTTGCGCTGCGCCGAAGTACGGTTGAACGCCATCTGAAAACAACAAACAATATGAATAACTTACCTTTTCTCCATGTATTTGTAATTTAAAACTGAATGAAGTTATAATGAAGACATACATAAATACAAACAAAATTATTTATCTTTGAAGTAATATTATTTTTGATCATTTTCATTTTCTGGTAAAATGGAACACAATTGTACGCTGACAGACATGAGTGACTGATTTCTGTATATTATCTGTGGAGAATATATAATGAACGATTTAACTGTAGTGCTAAGTAGTGCTCTGTTAGATCTGGATTTATAATAATGTTAGGTTTATTCCAAGTATTAAGTTTAGGAATGGTTTAAACCACGATCAGTTAGACCACGTATAGTCCGAGTTTTAACAGATTTTTTGTTAAAGTTTAATTTATCTCATTTTTAATGCAGATTCACACTGAAGAAGAATATTAAAATAATTTTTGTCTACCGCTCGTTTTTAAAGATGTTTTTTTATATAAATAATTACAAGAAACTGTAACACACAAGTACTCTTGAGAGACACAATGTTGTAAGGGACAGAAACACATTATTGCTGGGATCAGATAATATTGTCAGTTGCTATGAATTTAAAGATTTTTCTATAAAAACACTATTATCGTTAACGAATTCTTCAATTTTATAGTAAATTTTTTCAAGACTGCCTATAGAATATTGATTGACAAGTCAACTTGTTTATTTGACATTTAATTTTTTTTTATGGATGATAATTATAACAGCCTGCGTAATTTTATTGATGATAAATGACCTGAGGTCAGGTCAGTTATTTGACATAATAAAACGAATTACATGATGGTAACGCGTTAGCCAAACGACTTTTAGGTAAAATCAGTTTGTTACGGGTCATGAGTTCACTGACTCTTTTGAAACTAACTATATTCCTTCTCCCCAGTTAGATGATATTTTTAAATGTATTGTAGAAGACACACATTCTGCGGGGTATATCCTTAAAACACTCTCGCAATGACTCCCTGGAACCCATACCATGTGTGAGTTTCGTGTGAGTGCTGTGTGAGCGCGTGTTTTGTGTGAAAGTTTAATGTGTATCGCTGTGTGAGTACTGTGTGAGCGCTGTGTGAATAGAATAGAAAATCATGTGTAATCAAATGTGTGAATTACGTGTGAAACTGTGTGAATACAAACTGTGTAACCAGCGTCATTTTTGTGGGTCGTGACCTGTGCCCACCGCTGTGTGAGTGCTGTGTGAGCGGCGTGTGAGTGCTGTGTGAGCGCTGTGTGAGCGGCGTGTGAGTGCTGTGTGAGTGCTGTGTGAGCGGCGTGTGAGTGCTGTGTGAGCGCTGTGTGAGCGGCGTGTGAGTGCTGTGTGAGCGCGTGTGAGTGCTGTGTGAGCGCTGTGTGAGCGCTGTGTGAGCGCTGTGTGAGTGCTGTGTGAGCGCTGTGTGAGCGGCGTGTGAGCGCTGTGTGAGCGCTGTGTGAGCGGCGTGTGAGTGCTGTGTGAGCGGCGTGTGAGCGCTGTGTGAGCGCTGTGTGAGCGACGTACCTGCATGAGGCAGAGTATGGCGACCTTCTGCCGCAGCTGTCGGTCGGCGCGCTGCAGGTCGGGGTGCGGGGCGGCGGCCCGGGCTCTCTCGAAGGCCGCCACGTCCCCGGCCGCCGCCGCCCGCACCAGCGCCAGCGCCCACGCCTCGCGCGTGCCCTCCAGCGACTCCAGGATCGGGTGCGCCAGCTGCGGACACCCCCACGGTTGTTACTTCATTTATACACTATCACTTACCGCAGCCCACCTTCGTGAAGGAACACTATTGGTGGAAGAGTGTGGCGTATCGGCGCTACCGTGGCAGATTGCCGTAACCACAGACATATAAAAATAAATATAAATTATTTTATTATTTCATACTGTCTAGGATGACATCTGGAGCTTCTTATATATATATAGAGAAACTCTTTTTTGTAAAATACAACATTTATCGCTTCATGTACAATTTAATTAACTTATATAATGTATGAAAATGCGTATAACTATAAGTTATGTACTATGTAAGACATCCAGTTTTGTAGACCTAATAAATAAAAAAAAAAACTGTATGGATGGATGCGAGTGAATGTCTGTCTAGTAGAACGTATTAGTGACATTGCTCTTCAAATTCAAAGTAATAATCTGTCTACCCTTTATTTATAAGCGCCTTTATGAATAATTAAACAATAACTAAAAAAATTAGAAGTCGCATATAGTTCCTGAGACCTGTCGCCATTTCATCCATCCTACACTAATTCTGTGCAACATCGAGGTCTATGTTGACCATTGTTCTGAATAACTGAACCGAGGTACCGAAAATCGGAGCAGACCTGAAGCATTACACCGTTTAGGCAGAGGCACCGTTTGAAACTGGAGAGACCGTCGATATCGCAGAATAGGTATTCAATTTTAGTTCTGCTGATTTCCATGTTTCAATCATAATTAATGGCAAAAAGGCGGTACAGCTCTCAATTGAATTGCGGGAATTGGCAGATTATAAAATGAGTTTAAAGCTCGGTCAGTTAGCCCATCAGGTCCACCACTGGACCTGCCCTGATCATTGCTAGAAACGGGTGGAGTTAAGTAAAGAGTGGGTGTCAGACCAGCTCCCCGAGGTCGTAGACTGTGGGCGCGAGCACTGCGGCGAGCGCGAGGCGGAGGGCGCAGGCGCGGCGCTGCTCGGGCTCCAGCAGGGCTCCGCCCGCCGCGCAGCCCACGTGGCGCAGCGCGCACCGGTAGTACCGCGCCAGCGGACCGCGCACCCTGCACCCACACACCGCGCGTTATATACCAGGCATGTATCAGATGTAAAAAATATATTCTTAACCATAATTGAATCCGATACTATCGAGCAGGGACGGAGCCTAATAAAGACACGGTATGTGACGTAAATGTCTAGTGATGTGGGACACCGCTATATTATGTATCTATTTTTTAAATACATAATTTAGATTTAGATTTAGAACAGAACAGATTTAGATTTATAACAACGGATTTACATCAATTTTACTTATATGTAAAGATGTTTAGGATATAAACATTTATACATATAAATAAAATTGGAGTGTCTGTTTGTAATATTGAAATAACCGATGTTTACTACATGTATATGAATATAAATACGGTACATACACCAAAATAACATTTTTTACAATTTTTTTCTGTCTGTCTGTTTGTTCCGGCTAATCTCTGAAATCGCTGGACCGATTTTGACAAGACTTTTTTTGGCAGGTAGCTGATGTAATAGGGAGTAACTTACGCTACTTTTATTTTAGAAAAATAAAGTTAACTGCACGTGTACAGCTACTATGCAATAATAATGAAAATAGGCTTTATGGCCCAGTAATTACTAAAACCATTTATAATTTTTTATACTAATTGATGTCATTTAAATGTACAGGTAATACTGTACCTGTAATATTCGGAAGCTAATTTGTAAAACCGGCCATGTACGGGGGTAACTCCGTCTGCATCCTCCAAGGTGCCTTCAAGCTGTTCTATAATTTTCTCTGTGGCGTCCAGGTCATTCAGCTGTTCCAAGTAGATTTGACCTTGCAGCACCTGAAGATTATATAAGAAAACAATTATAAATATACTCAATATGACTGTCATTCCATTTGGAGGTAATCTAGAGGTAATCAATCAATTATCTGTTGGTGAAATTATAGTAAATGCAACATTTGGTTAGCCACAATATTAACATGTTAATCGCCATGCCAGTCATATGTGTCTGACGCTAAGAAGTTCTACATGAGCCATGTCAGACATATATGTCTGACGTACACGATTTGGTAGAAGGCAATGTGTTCAAAACAATAGGTTAATACTTGTTGTATCTTGTTTGGATGCGTCAGACATATAAGACTGACACGGCTTGTCGATAAAAAAAAGGTTTAATATAGGGCCATATATGTGTGACATAATAAATTGTGGTTTCTGGGAATTTTAGCAAAATTTTTTTTACTGTGATACATTAACTTTCTTTGTTAAGTTAAGTTTTTTTACATTTTTTAACTAAATTATATAATGAAGTTACCATGACTCATGTGAAATTTTTTCTGATATTAGTGTCACAATAAACATGTTAAAATTTCGAGCATATCTTTTAATGTGTTTAACATTAAAAGATATGCTCCAAGTCAGAGGCTAAATATGGAAAATATTATTTATTTTAGATTAACAACAGCTTATTTACAATTTATATACAATATACAGTTTTACATAGTAAAGACAATAATAGATACCTCATTGATTTATCTTTAATATTAAACTTATATAAAGTCTTAAGTCGGTTATTTAAAAATGATACAGTTAATCATAATCCAACAAGATATTTTACATTGTGTTCAATACACATTAATTTATTCAAACTTATATTAATAAGCTACTCAATAATGTAATATTTATATTGACAGTTAGCTATGTGGTCTAGCAGTTTACCACACCACAGCCTCAGATGGTCAAAGGTTCAATACCTTGCATGGTACAAACATTTGTATTAATGACAATGACTATACGAAAAAACCCTGACCAATACGGTCAGGGTTTTCTTTATGTATATTATTATTACATATGTAAGTATTTAGAAAAAAAATGTACATGTATATACATAAGTAGTCTAGTATCAATAACACAAGCTCCAGTTAGCTTGGGATTAGATGGCATTGTGTGACTTGTTCAGGAATTTTATATTTTTTGAACAAATTCTTTTTAGTTTATATACATTTTAAAGTAAAGTTTAATTGAGCCTAATTAGACATTAGTTTATAACACAACAATACATAGATGGTTACATTTTTGGGAAAAATGTAATACTTAACATACCTTACAGAGTGTAAGTGCCTCATCATTAACTTTGACCTTCGGCTCCATCTTCTCTAGGAATGCAATGGCCTCTTTTTTGTTTGCATACTGCTCTACAATGTGGGCGCAAATTTCAATAAGAGACAGAGGGTTTATTCTGTGAAGGTAACAATATACAATAATAATAATAATATAAAATAATAGTCATTATAAAACCAAGTTAGACTTATGCATTATTCATGGCTACCTACTTTAGTATATTGTTATTAGCATTGTACTGGATAATTAGTTATAATAATATACGTTTAAATACTTCAAGGAAGTAGATGTGGCGAAAAAAAGGGAAAGATTAAGATATTGGAAATTAGGAAAGTTTTATTCGACTTACTTATTTTCAAAAGTACTTAAAAAATTATTGTATAGCTGTATTAAGTTGTCTCCTGATTTTAGTGATGGTTGATTCACTAATTCCTGTACTTTTAGAGTTAATTGATGCCATAATCTGAAAACAAAAGGGTTACAGGTTAGCTTTGTTATAGTACATAAAATGACTTAACTAAAAAGTTTTAAATAGAAAACTTACTTTTTATTGTATAGCTCTTCCAATTTAGCCCATTCTGCCGCCAAATCTAGTTCAGTAGATTGTTTTTTTGATAAATAATCGTTTACATCAACAACTGCAAACTTTACAGAAGCCATTTTTCTAATTTGTAGCGCGTAATGATGTGAAGTTAGCTGCAATTACATGACATTTTGCACATTCATTAAAAACTAAAACGATGGTCAAGGAATCCTAACTCATTCTGCCAAAATTATGGAAATGAAATATACTGCCATCTAGCGATGAGTAGCAGCAACTTCGTACAAATAAATTCTTTGCTTTTGATAATAGATGGCACTAATGCTGCAATAAATACCCTGCTTATTTCAATAGATGGCACTGATTGTTCCAAAAGATAATTGTCAAACGTAAAGAACTTTAGTTGTTATTTAAACAGCATACAATGAATAACTATAATAATTATTATTTCTAGTTTAGATTTGAATATTATAGATCGGTATACTAACTTGAATCTCGTCAATTCTTTAAAGGGTATAGAATATTAGACAGTACAATTAAAATTTTGGAATATGAGATATCAAAGTCAGTGATTGTTAATTACACTTAATAAAAAGTTAATGCAGATTGCATCTGAATAACTGAAAGGTAACTAATAATCTATGTATAGTTCGATTACATTATTTAATTAGATATAAAGGTAGAAAATGTTGGGGAGGGAGGTCATTTTGAGTCGCAACCTGGAAACTTTACCTTATTATTACTATAGTTATTAGGTATTTCTATGAATTATGAATATTTTCTTAAAACCGCACTTATAGGTATAATTATACTTATACCTTTAGAGGACTGTACTTGCCTTTTGGTTAGGTTTATATATATACCTTATTATGTATTTTGGTCTTATAATAAGATTAAGTTTTCCATATATTAATACAGTTAGGTAAGTATGTCATTAAAAAAATTTGATTGTTCATGTTGTATGAACTTTTATATATATGTAGTAAATAGGTACGTGATACATATACCTAATTAAAATATTTTTAACAAAATCTGCAAAATATGTGTAGTTTTGTCTTTAAGAAAACAAAATTGATTTGCATCTATTGAAAAAAGATTTGTCTATATTGTGTACTTTCTTGCTGAGCCTCCAGTCTACGAATCAGTAGCTCAGATCATCAAACAAATTAACAATATACCTCATGGGAACTGTTCTTTTAAGCGATGATAATGGAATGGTCCACTTACCTGCGCTAACGGTATACGCTGGCGGGGCATCGTCGAATGACGCTAACATGTGTAGAAGATCAGTTAGCCCATCATGACAAATTCATCAGGAATTTATCACAATGGTTTCCAGGAGGAGCCGTGAAAGATCAACCTGACATGGTACATTACTAACAATCTCTTTCCCCCTGTGGGAACTGATATCCGTTACCTACAGAGGTATACCTACATATACAGTACTACATCATCAAGTGATGCCTGATGTACAGGGGCGGATCTACCTAAGGGCTTTTTGGGCTGCAGCCCAGGGCCCCGAGGATACAAAGCCCCCCAGTCCCCACTGAAAAGATATTTAGAATATAAAAAAATATGTAGAATGTTAAAAAACCTATCATAAGGTTGGCAACCCTGAGATCTATCAACCCATGCAAGTGCGTCTATCGAATGGAACGGGGAATTTCTGGTCGCTTGTTCTTAGTCGGTGTAATTTTTAGTTGAGTAATATAATTAGGTAGGCCTCTAAGTAGATTTAGCCCAGGCCCCACATTTTCACGATCCACCCCTGCTGATGAAAACACATTCCCATTCCTGAGGAGTAGGGAGGCATAACCAATAGTCCCAACATTTGGGGGGAAGGGGATTGTTAGCAATGGGAACTAGTAACTCCCATTGCTAGCAATGTACCATGTCAACCTCCACGTGGTTCTCCCTGGAAACCATCGTGATGAATTCTTGGTGAATTTGTCACGATGGGCTAACTGACCTGACCTCATGCACATCTTATCATCCTCCACTGGTGCCCCGCCAGCGCAAACCGTTAGCGCAGGTGGGTGCACCATTCCATTATCATCCACTAAAAAAGTCCCAACATTTGTTATACCTCCCTATCCGGTCATTTTTCTGCCATATCACCCTCTCATATCAAAGAAGTGCCAGGTTTGTGTCAAATAGCTTGCTACTTAGATAATGACAGAAAAAACTGAGTCAGAAGTAGCTCATCCTATACCTATAGGCAGTGGCGTAGCTACCTAGAGGCTAGGCGGGGCAGTGCCTCGGGGCACTCGAACTCTTACGAGAAAATCTCGATCTAACAAAACTTTTGAGAATTTCTCCTTTTTCAAAATCAATATGACAAGTTGTAACCCGTTTCCGAGAAACTCGAGAAATTCGAAAGTTATAAGTATAATATAATAGCAATGCACCCTCCAAGGAACTATTACACATATATATACATTAAACATATTAAAAATAAAATAACATCAACTATATAAAGCATAATGACAATTGTATATATTTAATATTACACATATAAGTACGTACATATAGATATTGTTTCACGAGAAGAGGAGCAAGAAGCATACAATTGACTCAAATATTATTACAGTCTTAATATTGTTAAACCCGGGTGAAGTCGGGCCAAACCACTAGTCGTCAAGTGCAGTTCCATTTGGCCTGGTTCCAAACCAAACTATTTGAGTTTAATTGAACATCCTAAATTAGGCACATACAACTGTCACTTAATAAACATTCCTTTGTTATTGTTAGTGGAAGATGTTTTTTTATGTAGGTACTGTAGGTATATAATGTTGCGGCAGGCGGGTTCCTGAGCTAATGTATGCTGGTGAGGATCAGAAGATGATGGTAGAATGAGCATGAAGTCAGGTCAGATAATTTACCAGGTCGATTTCTGGAGACGTGGAGATCAACCTGGCATTTGATTTTTGATCAACCTGGATTTTTTTTATTCAATGGATTTTAATGTAATGGTGCACCCGCCTGCGCTAACGGTGCACCAGTGGAGGATGATAGGATAACGAAAAAATCTAGTCATTGAAAGCTTTCTTGACACAAAAGCTCGTTTGAAAGCATATGTCCTAATTAATATGCTTTGTTATTTATTGCTGAAAATAAAATGTTATTAACAATATTGATAGCTGACAATGTATTTAAAACTTCATGTACCTTTGGTAAAAAAGCTTATTTGATATAAAATCTTATATCAAACTGATTCAATATAGCTATAAAAGAAAATACACAACCACAATGAGTATTTGAGGGGACAATGGAGCACAACATAATGTGACCTTGAACCCTCTCAGCATACTTCAAGGATATTCACTTTAAAAACTAAAAGTATATTCTGCAAAGTGCGTAGCGGTTTCTATGTTGATTGTCGCATGCCTAATCCTTGTTGTTAATTAAATATAAGTAAATCAATATTTATTTAAAAGAACAACACACAAGTTTCTTGCTTATTCTTCTTGTGATGAATCTACATTCCGAATAAGCGGTAGAATAAAAAAACTTGAATAAAGATTATTTCTATTTCAATTTTTATTTCTATTTCAAATATCATAAACAGTAGCCGAATTAATTATAACAAAGGCATGATTACAATAAGGAGATCCGCAGAAGAACCAGAGTGACCGACATAGCCCGAAGAATTGCGACTCTGAAGTGGCAATGGGCAGGGCACATAGCTCGTAGGACAGATGGCCGATGTAAAGCGAGTGGCGACCACAGACCGGAAGACGCAGCGTGGGAAGGCCTCCAGCAAGGTGGACCGACGATCTGGTCAAGATCGCTGGAAGGCATTGGATGCGAGCAGCGCAGGACCGATCGTCGTGGAGATCTTTGGGGAGGCCTATGTCCAGCAGTGGACGTCTTCCGGGCTGCGATGATGATGATGATGATGATGATGATTACAATGAGAATAAACTGGTTTTAAATAAAAAGAAATGCAGTTGAGTTTCTTGTCAGTTCTTCTCACTTGAAATAAAGATAAAAACATAACTGTTGAATTTCTTACCAGTCAGTTATTACGTCTCAATTAAATCTGTTTACTGGTAGGGAAAAAGTATTAATACAAAATATTAGACGTTCATAAGCGGCTAAAATGTCCTATATGAATAGGTGATTTTTTATTTTGATTATTACCTACTTGGTTTTAATACCGGCTGACTTTGTAGAGTCGTCTACGTGGTCTCTAATCTCTTTTGTCTGTTTCACCTATTTATTCTGCTTGCAGCATGCTTTGCAACCTGTTGCTGCCTGAGGGGTGACATATGCTAGTAAAATACAATAGGAAATTAAATTATTATGAAAAATTATATAAATAAACTCATTCATAACTGATTATTATAAAACTTTATCACAGTAAGTTTTAATGCATTTTTCTATAAAAGAATATTGAATAACAATTATAAAAATACCATGTAAGAGATTCTTAAAGAATTATATATAAGTATTTAATGTAACAACAAAAATAAATTCGTACAATGTCGTAAATATTTATAATTAATGCAATATCTTTCAATCATTTCGTTTGCATATTTAATTTCATTACAATACAGTTTAAAAAAATGGTAATCGTTAATAAATATTAACTTCAAAATTTAACTAACTCTTTCGAGGTTATTTTATAACGCTTAGTCATTATTAGGAACATAGTATAAAACAAAGTCGCTGTCGCTGTCTGTCCCTATGTATGCTTAAATCTTTAAAACTACGCAACGGATTTTGAAGCGTTTTTTTAAATAGATAGAGTGATACAAGAGGAAGGTTTATATGGATAATACATGTACACTAGAGCGAAGCCGGGGCGAGTAACTAGTAAAATATATAAAAACTATACCAAATATTTTTTGTTATATTTAGAAGTAAGGAATAAGACATGTAATACAATATTATCAGATATTCATCCCCCATTGTAAGATTGGGGGTGACAACTGGGGGATGAACGATGCTATAATGCGACTAGAAATAAAACATCTAAAAGAACAAAATACCAATATAACAGAAACGTACACATATAACTCTACAGTATACTAGGTAATGGTAAGATTCTCTATTTTTATGGAGAATAATTGTCCAGCAGTGGGATTTTGGAGTTACCTACCTACAATACGTACTAATAGGACATACATATATTGTTATAACAATTATATATCTAACGTTTATAAATATGAAACTTAAGGTTTAGGAAAAAGTGATTATTTTTATTATTCAATAAGAAATAAACGACTGTACGCATTTTAATGGAATTTAGTACACAGATAATAATAATATTAGATTAAAATATAAGATATATTGTGTTTCAATTGACACAGACGAAGCTGTACCGCGGCTAGAGCTGGACCTTGTTTTAAATTATTAAATAGCTAAGTAGATTTTCATTGAACACGCAACTATATGTTGTTACTTAATTGCATAATTAAATTAATTATTATATTAATTACATTCATTAAAATATACGTTATGGACAAAATTATTGATATTTTTAAATATGAGATAAATAATAATTATTATACTATATTAATATTTACCAAAACTATTTCTACTGCTATTTCACATTAAGTCTAAATTTACAATTTGGTTTTTACTGTTTATTATTATATAAGGCATGTATTATCATATTATTATTGTTTCCAATAATGTATTTATAACTAATAACAATTTTAATAACATATAGCAATAAATAGATATTATTAAATCAATTTATAAACAACGATTTAATTTGTAAATAAATTTATTATATCAGTACCTATGTTGTAGGTGTGAATATACATTTAAGTATACATACATATATATAATTGTGACGTCTGTATCCAGAGCAAAAAAAAAACATTATTAGACGTGCAAGCAATTTTCCTAGATACTTTATTGTGACTAAAGTGAAAAAATATCAAAATAAGAGATGAGACAGTGGTTCCTAAAACATCCTTATGTATAAGTTCAACTGATAGTTGTAATTGTTCATTTTATACAGCGCCATCTAGTCCCAAACTAAGCAAAACTTTTCTAAGTCTGACGCAGTCATTATTTATAAGTATAATTAGTGAATCACGAGATCTTATCCCAGTTGTACTAAACTGAATTTATACGTGATCATGGCGGTTAAAACATTGCCGAAATATCGGGAACTCAGTAAAAATAAAACGTGGTAAGAACCCGTGATTTACTAATTATACTTATAAATAATGACTGCGTCAGACTTAGAAGTTGTGCTTAGTTTGGGACTAGATGGCGCTGTATAAAATGAACAATTACAACTATCAGTCATTGAGGATGTTTTAGGAGTTGCCCCACTGTCGGTGCCACTGCGGATTTTGATATTTTTTCACTTGTACTAATTTAGTCACAATACAGTATCTAGGAAATTATAACGAAAGGAAATTATACTTATAAGCACAACTTTTACTATACATTGGAAACCGATACCGATACCGAAAAAATGTTAAGTATATTTAAATATATTTTTACTATAAATACATATAATATAATATATAGTAACATAGACAACTTTGAGACTTGCGTATAGTAGATGTATTTAATAGCAATCTATAACTTTTAATACAATTGAATATTGCACTATGTATCCTTACTAAAATTATAAATGCGAAAGTAACTCTGTCAGTCTGTCTATCTCGCTTTTACGCCAAAACTACGGAACCGATTTAAATAATATTTGGTAAATTGGTACACACATAGTCACCTTTTTTTTTTTCACGTCAGGAAAATCCATCATGGAGAACCATCCGCTTAGGGACGAATGGATACTGCCGGACTCCTACCTGCTAAAAACCTGACGACTGTTCCTCCTCGACATAATCGCCGTGGCTATGGGATACGCAAGCATTCATCAAGACCACCGGCATGGTTCCCATCGAAGGGACCTCCATCTAGGCGTGCAGGGAACAGTGTCTGCACGCCACCTCCAGACCCTAAAACCTCCCCGGCGAGCTTCGGATTGCCCTACACATAGTCTCTACCCTGAGGAAGGACATAGGCTAAAAAGGGTTGTAAGGGGTTGAAAGGGGAGATGCAATATTGTATTGAAGTATCGTCATTTTTTAAGTTAGAAGCTTGAAACTTATATTTTTAGGCTTTTAATTACATATAAATAAATATTACATTCAAAATTTGTAAAATTCTTACCCTTAAGGGGCTAAAATAGGGGGTGAAAATTTGTATGGAAATTCGTCATTTTAAAGATAGAATGAAGAAATTTTTTTTTTTGCTTTTTTGAGTTAGATTATTAATTTCTATACCTACCTACTTTATTTAGTCATGGTTATTTTTCCACCCGGACGAAGTCGCAGGACAGCTAGTTTTTTTATATACAGTACTACAATAGTATAGTATATCGGTCTGCGTGTTTCCTATGTATGTCCATCTAGTTGTCTAGTATCCATAACACAAGCTCTGTTTACCTTGGCACTAGATGGCGTTGTGTGAATTGCTCTTATTATTATTACTATAATTAAATATAATATTGTACTAATCTGGCAGTGAGAAATTTCATGGTCGTATAGTTTTTATATAATTATTAATTTAATATATAAATAATAATATAATGAATTATTATTATAAATTCACTTATATTTCCTTATATAAATAAACTTCATAAATGATTGTACTGATTAATATCTGATTTTATCTTAATATATATAGATGCTATACCTACTTCTCTTCCTCAGTATTAATTTTATTATATCACATAAATAATTAATTATTTGATTAACTAATTAATTGGTTAATTAAATATTTTAATGTAAATAATAGGCACACTCATAAATAGGTAAGTACGTAGCAATATATATAAGAATATACCTACCTATAACTTAAGTACTTAATACTAAAAGAAAAAGAAATAGGTACAACGATGACAAATTAAATAATAATTAAATCAAATTAATTTAATCAATATATTGGTTTATTTTTATTCATTAAAATTATATTTAAATATTTCTGTTTAATTGAAATTTTGTCAAATATAGTATTCAATAAGAAATATTAATATATAAGTTAAAATACATGGTAATAAAAAAAATATGATCTCATCACTGATGATGATGTTACCAGAGCGAGTGTAAACATTATTTTAATTATTTTAGTCATTATGAATTATGATATAGGTATGAATTGGAGCTCCAACTGTGATTACTAACAATGAGAAGGTAAAGAAATAAAGATTGTGATAATTATATAATATAAATCAGAGCAATATTCCACTTTTATTGTTAAGTTTTATATATATATAAATATATGTATATTTGCAAGTATTTTTAAAGACCTATTTACCTATGTTAGTTAAAATTATAAGTTAGTCCTTTCCCACCACTGCCCATCAACTGCTTTCTGTTCTTACCTATTGGTTAGCTGGTGGAGAATGCCATATGGTATTAAGCTCGCCAAATTGTACAATTTTTAATAGGGCAATAAAGAATAAATAAAAAAATTACGAGTAGGTATGTAGGTACATAATTTATTAATACCAACCGTAAAAGGAATACTTACTAATTATATGTAATTTATATTATAATTTAAATGGATATGAAATGCTCAAAGTAGAATAAAATGTAGAGGGTTGAAGGTATGTAGGTCATCGCACCAATAAAATGATCGAAAACGGCAAATATACATCTATATACAATAAGAAAAAGAACACGTTTATACTTTAAAATATATATTTACAAAGTATTTATACACAACAATCAATAAATAGATATCTACATTAATATCATAAATTTTATTTTATTAAATATAAATATTATATTTATATAAATAATAATAATAATTGAGAAATAATAATAAATTTATAGGAATGAATAAACATAAACTGCTTTAAGAAATTTGTCTAATTATTTGAATAAGTTATAATTAAATTAAATGAACTGTATAGTTAATGAAAGTATTTTGTTTAAATATAATTTATATTTAATTTAATCTCAAATACATACACATTATTATTATAATTAGATACATTTAGTTTGCTCGTATTATCAAATATGTTTTTATGGTATGGTTTACTTTTTAAGTAAACCTAGATATAAAAACGCATGTGTTATGTCCCTTTCCATGTTTTATTTGAATAAATGCAATAAAATACATTAACCCGCGGTAGTGTAGCGGTTTAGCACCGCTTTGCATTCGATGGTCGAAGTTCGATTCCGCGTACGGTACAAAAATTTGTATTTAGTAGGTAGGTATATATATATATCCAAGTATTTATATCAGTTATCTAGCGCCACGTGATTTGACTTGGATTATTATTATTATTATTATTATTGTTTTTATTACAAATTAAATGAGAATTTAATTAAAAAAGATACTGTAAGTTTATTACATAAAGTTTGTGTGTCTGTTAGTAACAAAATGTATAAATACATATAATTATAATGGTTCCGATGCTTTTACCATGACTATACACCATGAAGGAAGGCGGGGGCATTGTTTGGTCCCTTCTAAATTATATATAACTAGTCGTTTCCTGCGACGTTGTCTACGAAAATTGGTAGGTACTGTTAGTTGCCATGACAACAAACACAAAAATAGCATACCTGCTGTTATTTTACGAATACATTATATAAGGGTAGTTTTGTTATATATTGTTTTTATAATATATAAAGATCTTTATTTCTGTTTTGTATTGGAATGTAGAAGAAAAAATTTAAATATAATTTGTGTCAGAAATCACTTTTAAGAATTTAAGAAATAAAATAGATACAATTTTAGAAGTAAAAGTGTTGTTTATGAGAAAAATATAAATGACAAATTGCCGACCATAAATGCATAGTAATAACTAGGGTTGGTTAACTTGTGGTCACATTAGGTACGTAAATACAAACCAAGTAGGATTCTATTATATTCTACTCAATTTATAACACTTATCTGTGTACCATTAATTGATATATTTATTAAATAAATTATTCTATGGAGCATATATATTTACAAAGTAATTAAAAAAAAAATATATTCGAAATAAATAAATTTGTATTCTAAAAAAAAAAAAATACAATAAAATATCTGTGTAATTTCTTAATAATTTATTGTGATATACATTCTTATTTATTATATTTAAGTGTATTCAAATATATTTTACCTTGCGCGAGGGGTATGGAGAACAAATTTAAAAACTTACCTAAACATTTAATACCTACTGTTTATATGTACCTAACATCTATACTATAATATGTTGACACCTAAATTCGAAACCCATTTAATAAATAAAATCTAAAACTACTATTGAATATTTCGTGCTTGTAGTTACGTAATGAATAGCTGGACAGATTTGGATGAAATTTTGCATAACGGTAGATTAAGTCTTGACAGACTGGCATAGGTTAATTTACAATTTAGTCCACACAGATAAACTAAAAGCTAAAAATTGAGATTTATATATATATATTTATATAGATAAATAAGTAACAATAAGAGAGTATATCTAAGTATAACAGGCCATTTAAAATATTATTTGTTTATTGTAAATTCTAATAAAATATTAAAAATTGCAATGCATACTTCATTTTAATTTCAGAGCACTCAATAAATGTTCTTAATTAATTAAAAAATCAATTAAATAAATCTTATTTGTTCTCGTTTATAATAAAACTTATATAAAAGAGAATATTTACTGCAGTTTTTGTATTATACACTATTACTATTTATTGCAGGATTTTACCATTATTATATTTGTATATTTTATAATTTATCATAAAAAATAAAAGAAATTAATAACTGGATGTGCAAGAATTATATAAAAAATATTTTCAGCTGTTAAAATAAATTTTTATATTTCAATAGTCTTTGATTGTCAAATTAAAAAGCAATGTCTTATTAATAATAATATAACATAATATAAATAAATTTATTAATAACTAATTTTTTATTTTTAGATAAATATTTATTAAAATATATACATATTTTCGTTAAATTATTTCCTAAAAAATCTAGAATCTAGAAAATAATCTATTAATACCTACCTATTAGGTATATTTTTAAGTAAATAATTATAAAGTATATATATAAATAGTTAAATACATAATAATTTCGAATATACATATATAATTTGTATTATAACAAAAGGTCATAGATGGAGTCCTACTAAAAGATATTTACAATTAAACATTTAAATTAATAGAATTGGGTGATTAAAGTATTAAAATAAATAAACAATATTATGTTAGATGTAATAAATAAATAAAATTATAATTTATTAACTATACTAAAGCACTATACTGTAAATTATAATAATAGCAGTCCTATCATATCTTAACAAAAGTAATGATTAATTTTGACGAAAAAATATTCTTAAATATAGTATATATATTTTTTAGCTCTTCTAATTTTAATCAACCCTTGCCTCACCGGGGGTCCAAATTTTAGGTTGTAGGTAAAACGTGTGTACTTACCTATAGTTTTCGATGCCTCTTTTAGGCATAACATAGACCGCGAGGTCGACGTTACAAGGTTAGTGGTCTCCGCGCAGGCGCGAGCCGCCAAGACTGTTTTGCCGCCATTCCAGCAGAGTGACTCGCGCGCGCGCCACCTCTAGCCGTCAAAACGTAGCGCTCATTCCCCCTATCCCTTCTGCATCCCTCTCTATCCCTCACACGAACGCCCCTACACGTCCCAGTTTCATCAACTTATCGTATTTGCAAACGTCGCATTGCAAAACATTCCGTCCAAATTTTGTCACGTATCCCTTCCAAAACGACGTGTCCTGACCGAGATCGAGTTTGGTAACCCTACATCTTGAGTTCCCAGTTGGTCCACTTTTGAAAATTACGTACTGTGTTCCAAATATTTTCGGCTTTTAGTGCGACCGTCGAATACGAGCGTCGATTCCGTTCGGTTAGTCAAAAAAATCGCGTATTGGCTTATATTGAAGGTTTGGAGCCCTTATCAGGGCGTTATCCATTATTATCGGTCGTATAGTTTTATCTGGATTGTGCTGCAAGTGATAGTTTTGCCGATGTGGCGCGCGCGCGCCTCTGCCGTCCGCTAGTTAGGCCTAAATATACCGCGGCGCACGCCGGAACGCGAAATTTTTGCACGAAAGCGGTACAAAAGTGTCCAATAAGATTCTTATAGGCCTATTTAGAAAAGTGGTGTATCATCCCCTATGGACCCCCGAGATTACGATTATAATGGTTTTTAAACGAAAAACGTATTAAAACATTGTTTTTTTCGCGATTTTGTGAAGTGACTGTGAACAGACAGCCCCGAACTCGTTTAAGTGTTCAGAATAGTTTTGTGTCTGGATGTTTCTGGATGATTCCTGCTGTAATCGTAAGTACAACTCCTGTTTTATATGTTTAATAGAAAATATCACCACAAAATGTATTTTTATATAGTTTTAAGAAACATATATGTGTCGCTGTGCGTGGGTGCGCCGTGCTCCCGAACAAAACATTTTTTTTCAGTTAATTATTTTAAAATATAACAAGAATATTATATAACTATATTTTTTAAGCTCGTATACATATCACATAATAGGAAGTTTCAAGTTATTCCCATGAAAAAACCAAAAAAGAGCTCACCAGAAAAGTTGGACTCAATCACGGCTCTACCTTTTGAGTTAACTATGATTTATTCTCTAAAATAGGATAGTCTATTTATAAAATTTACAAAACGAAGCACTTTATTAGTTAAATATCTATTTTAAATACAATTTTAGGGACATATAGTAAGTATAAAATTATGTACATATAAAACAAAGTTCTTGACTCTACATATAAATGCACGGGAGTCGAAAAAGGGTTATTAAATACATATAAAAATGAAATTTAACATAAAATATCAAATTCTGCACTATGTTCTACGTAATGCTGAAAAACCATAAAATACCTATTTAAAAAAGTAGGTATTTAATAAAGTATAAACCCCTACACAGGAACATAGAGGCTTCAATAGACAAATTTGCATTTTTATTAATATCTTTAACGATCTAGCAAACATCAATTTATATAAAGAACTTTTTTGTATCTCTAAATGAAGTAAATAAAATATATATTTTATATCGATATACAATTTAACATTAGTCTAGCTATTCAAAGAGGGAACGCTGCCAGTATCTTCGGAACGTTGCCTAAAGGGACCCCTTTCAATAATATATTTTAGTCATCATATTATATTTTTTTTAAGCTATTTAATTTTAGGTTCTTAGTTGTACAATTAGTATATATAAATACTAGTAATAAATACGATCAAAATATATTTTATTAGTTAATTTAACATTTGTTTCAAAACGTTAGTCTATTAAAAGGTTAATAATATATATCAATATTATTTCTATGTACCCTAAGTCTTACAATTGTAATAAAAACACATTTAATAATACACATTTATGTTGTAATTAAAAATGGATTACATTTATAAATGAATAATATATTGCACTGCATTGCAACTTTACATATATTTATTATAAAATACAGTGTAATACAATGCAATCTCAAATAGGCTACTTTTAATTATAACTAAAATACTGTCTTTTAATTTTGGTATGAATTTATGATTACAGTTCTAAACAATTTTATTATACTCGTATTTAATTAAATAACTTACAACACTGCACGTGTAAAGATTTACAATGTGAGTATTCATTTAAAATATAATAATATTCACCATATAAATATATTTAAAGTAAATTATTTAATTTAGTGTATTACTTTAAATACCAATGTTGAACATGTGTGGATTATGATTATAGCAAAAAATCATTTTACAAAACGATTTATTCTTAATTATTGTTTAGGAGAGAATAGGAATTGGACATTAAATTATGCTTTTTTTTAATCAACATTGTGCACTATTAATAATGACAAAATATAATTATTTTAATCAATATTATTCACTATTAATTATGACTAAAAATATAGTTATATCAATCAATATTGTTCACCATTAATAATGACTAAAATATAGTTATTTTAATCAATATTGTCTATCATTAATGACTCAAAAATATAGTTATATCAATCAATATTGTTCACTATTAATAATGACTAAAATATAGTTATATGAATCAATATTGTTCACCATTAATAATGACTAAAATATAGTTATATGTATCAATATTGTCCACTATTAATAATGATTAAAAATTATAGTTATTTTAATCAATATTGTTCAATATTAATAATGACTAAAATATAGTTATATGAATCAATATTGTTCAATATTAATAATGACTAAAATATAGTTATATGTATCAATATTGTCCACTATTAATAATGATTAAAAAATATAGTGCATTTTTTAAATAAAGTGAATTAAATGGTAAATTATCAAAAATAACGTTCTAATTATATTGTCATATTAAATATAGATCTTGTACTATATGAATTATAAAAATTATATAAATTCTAACGTTATAGCGTACCTATACTACAATATTAACTGTATAAGTATTATATATAAATTTTATTAACTATATAAATAATGATACGGACTAAATACCTTTTTTGATGTTGCAATTAAAACGTATTTTTGTGAATGTATTGCTTATATATAATATAACTAATATACTATATAGAAATACAATATATATTTGATACGTTAAAGTAACTATCGAATGTTTTTATTAGATTTTGTTTTAGTATTAATTATGTACACATATAAATAAAATTGGAGCGTCTGTTTGTAATATTGAAATAATCGTTATTTACTCCATGCATATGAATATAAATACGGTACATAAATCAAAGTATCACTTTTACAATTTTTGACCGATTTTGACGGGACTTTTTTTGGCAGATAGCTGATGTAATAAGGCTATCTACTTAGGAAGAACTACTTATTACTTACTCTACTCGGAAGAAGTCGCGAGAACAGACAGTTATTAAATATAAATATATTCTTAAGTAAAATCATAATAAATAATTAATATGTAACTAAAATGTACCTTTAAAATATTAACAAACTATTTACTAAGATGGTTTATTTGAAAGTGTTCTCAAATATTACTCTGTATAAAATTTAATTTATTTAACCCACTGAACATATTCATTATATATATTAGAACTATTTGAATTGACATAATATATAATATATATGTATAATAATCATATATATATTTAATCAAATATCTATAAAAAAGTAATTTTCTTATGTTTAATAAAAAAAAAATACATAAAATAAATGAAACAGTTATATAAATAAATATAGAAAACAGATTATATCATTACATAGTATAAAACAAAGTCGCTGTCGCTGTCTGTCCGTCTCTATGTATGCTTAAATCTTTAAAACTACGCAACGGATTTTGAAGCGGTTATTTTAATAGATAGAGTGATTCAAGAGGAAGGTTTACATGTATAATACATATAGATTACTAAGATACTAGTAATTAAATTGATGTAAGTAACTAAGATTGTGTTTGTGAAGTGTTCTCAAAACGGCGTTAGGCGGCACACTAAATGGCTAGGCTGATTAGTGAGTGAAAGTAGCCTTAGTTACTCCTTATTACATCAGCTACCTGCCAAGAAAAGTCCCGTCAAAATCGGTCCAGCCATTTCAGAGATTAGCCGGAACATACAGAACGATATACAGACAGACAAAAATGTTAAAAAATGATTTTTTGGTGTATGTACCGTATATATATTCATATGCAAGTAGTAAAAAACGGTTAATTCAATATTACAAACAGACACTCCAATTTTATTTATATGTATAGATTTAAATATATTGTTATAAGTTTATTTTTTTTTGCATATTATCACATTTTTAATAGTAATTAGAGTCCTTCTTTAGTGCAATCTTTTGTGACTGTAAAAGAAAGAAAATAACAATAATGTGCTTCGATAAAAAAGACTAATTAACCTTAAAATTTTGAAATTGCAATATTTGTGGGTAGAGTTCTTTCATATAAATTTTAAATGATTAATAAATATAGATAGATAGATCATAATTTTTATATGTATCATAGTACACACATATAGGCTTATTTATAACAACTATTAACGGTAAACCTGAATGTGTGTGCTACAGTAATACATATATATAAAAAAAACATATATTAAAAAAAGCAACACACAAGTTTCTTGCTCATTCTTCTTGTGATGAATCTGCATTCCGAATGAGTGGTAGAATCAAAATATGACTGTTCAAAAGTGCTTGTAATGACTTTATTTGAATAAAGATTATTTCTATTTCTACTTCTGGTACACAGCTCAGTGTGGAGAATCACTCGAGGAGCAAAACACTGATTTGCAGCTATGTCCTCGAGGGTGAATAATGTTGTTTAATTTTTTTTTGTAAACTAAAAATGAATTGAACGAAATAATGTGAAATAAATAAATAATAACGGAACTTGAATTAAAGAATTACAGTTAGAGTACCAGAGCTATATAAATACCGAGATATATCAATGCTATAAATAGGAATATATGTAAATATATGTAATAATAATAATAATAATAGTCATGAAAGAAGTGACATGTATAAATGTATTAAGGAAATAAAACGTAAAAGATAAATAGTGTACTATTCTTCTATTA